AGGTCAGAGAGAACTTCTTGCTTCTGCCATCTTTTTCAAATTCCTTTAGCTTAAAATATTCAGTATGCCAAGGTGCTATCTTTTGGAGTGCCCTGAACTTCATCAGTACATAGAAAATGTTCCACTAAATGTGAGACCTATGGCTCATGGCTTTCTTTCATTGAGAACTGTATAGAATTTGTCTTTGATTTCCACTTCTCAGCACCACTTTGCAAGAATTCATCGTGACCATGTCTATGCAACGGCACTGTGGCTCAGTTGTGTTCATGGCTGACTCCACCTCAGCGCTCTCCTCTACCCCCATCATCCTCCATTTCCATATTAAGATTCTGTATCACCTTCACAAAGGTGCCTCTCTGTGAAGCATTCACTATTTCCCTCACTTGCTTCTTTAAAGGTTGTGTTAGTTTCCTATGGCTATTGTAACAAGTTCATATACATTTGATGGCTTAAACAACAGAAATTTATCATTTCATGTTTCTAGAGGCCAGAAATTAAGTTATGGGCTGGTCTGCACACCTTCTGGAGGCTGTAGTGGAGAAAACTTCCCTTGCTTTTTACAACTTCTATTGGCTCCTGGCATTCCTTGCCTTATGCAGGTAGCATTACCCCAGTCTTCAAGACCAGAATCTTGAAATCTCTCTCTGCTGGTCTTCACATCACCTTTTCCTCTACCACCGTAATCTCCCTCTACCTTTTTCTTATAACAGTTGTGATTGGATTGAGAACTCACTTATTCCAAGAAATTCTCCCCAATTTAATTTAATCACATCTGCAAAGCCCCCTTTCCCTTATAAGGCACAATTTCCAGATTCCAGGGATTAGTGATTACTATCTTTGGATGGCCATTATTCAGATTACTTTATAAGGGTTTCCTATTTTGAATCTATAATTTTTGTTGATATTTTTCTAATGGCACTAACCTCATTTAAAAAAATTATGCATGTCACATTTGTTCTCACCTATTAGACTGTGGGTTGACTGAAAAGAAAAAGGTGTGCCTTTTTCTGTGTGTGTGTGTGTGTTTTTTAATCCTCTGTAGTGACAAATTCAGAGACTTGGACAGAGATAACCCTCTATCAACATTTGCTATATTAAATTCAATAAATTTTACAAACGTTACTCATGGTGACTAGTAGTATTGAAAATGTCAAGATTTCTCATCTGTCAATGTATACAAATGCCGGGCTTCTGCCATATTCAGGTGCTAAGTTTTGGGAGTTTCCAATATAAGATGAGGTTTTGTTTTTGTTTTGAGACGAAGTTTCTCTCTTGTCTCCCGGGCTGCAGTGCAATAGCACAATCTCAGCTCACTGCAATCTCCGCCACCTTGGGTTCAAGCCATTTTCCTGCCCAGCCTCCCCAGTAGCTGAGATTACAGGTGCCCGCCACCATGCCTGGCTAATTTTTGTATTTTTAGTAGAGACGGGATTTCACCATGTTGGCTAAGCTGATCTGATCTTGAATTCCTGACCTCAGATGATCCACCCATCTTGGCCTCCCAAAGTGTTGGAATTACAGGCGTGAGCCACTGCACCCCACCAAGATAAGGTTCTTACATGCAGAGAGCTCACAGCCTAGCTGAGGAGAAGGAGATATTTAAAAACTATTTAAAAATGTGAGAATGCTAAACATACAATGGGAAAACTCAAGAAAATTGCTCCCTTGGGAGAAATAATATTTCTAAGCACAGTTGTGCCTAAAATTATAGAAGTTGTATCTAGTTTATATATTTCTAATCAGTAACTACTAAAATCTTGATTAATAAACTTTGAATATAATTAATCTGAAATGCGCATGATATATATAATTAACTTTTAAATTTTAGTGACAAAGATCCTAGCTCTTTGAGATATTATACAGAATAAAGGCCTCTACACTTTTCTTTCTTAAAAAAATACACTTTTGTATATTTTCTTGTTCTTTTCTGAGATGATAGGCAAGCGTGTTTTGTCTTGGTGGTTTGATTTATTTCTACCTACTCTCACTTTAAAACAATTACTATGCCCTTGAAGGAGAGGAGGCCTGTCCTACAGTTTCTTCCCTGCCTTCTGCAGCCATCCTCTAGTGCAGATTTAAGTGGCATGAAATTGCTTTCATCTCTCTTATCATGACCCTCTGATAATATTGCCTCGAATATGGAGAAATAGCAGCACTTCTCTCATGATAAACCCTTTTGAATTCTGTATTCCTAGAGTCTGAAGGGCATCAACGTTCAGCTCAGACAGGCCACTTTGGTTATGGGAATTACAGTCTGGTTATTTTTATATGTTCATATGTGATACTTTTGGCTCCCAATAACTTATTTCTAAGTGTATACATAAAAAGGATAGCTTTTTAACCTGTGGCTTTTGAACTTACTAGAATCACTGCATCTTGATTTTTGCTAGATTTTACAATACTTCTCTTAAAGAGATCTTTTATTCTTGTCTCTCAGTGACTTAAACTTCTCGCATGAATCTAGATAATTATAAAATCAATGAACCTATTTTCTTTTGAATATTTTTGAACATTCATGAGGATACTTGAGATGGATAATAAAATACTTTATCATCTCATCCCTGAAAATAACTTATATTTTTGAACAGCGACTAACTGCTACATAATACACTGTGTCTTAGGTGCACTACAGAAGGTAATTGTTAAAGGTACATTATACCTAAATTGTTTTAGGTGCATTGCAGGTGGTTCTTATGTTAAAGATGAGAATACTAAGGCTCAGAGAAGTTAAGTGATTCATCTGAGGCCATTTAGATGGAAAGTAAAAATATGAAATTAGGCACCATTTTTCCCTTTTGTTATTTCATGTGACATCTATTTATTGAATACCTACTATATGATAGGCACATTTTTATACATTGGGGATACAAGAGTGAGTAGAAAAAGATATCGTCCCTTCCTTCAGTGGTTACAACAGAAGGGAGGGTTGGGGGCATTATTCAGTTCATCATATGAGTAAATGTAAAATTTCATCTGTAACGTGTTAGGAAGAAAGGAACATAATTGTGTTTTAGGAGGATTAGAGGCATTCCTAGAGAGGAAACACAGATGGCTGTCCAAGAAGAAGCTCTTTAAGGGTGGCAATGAAAAGGAGCTCAGAGGGTGTTCAAGGCAAAGGCATTGCTGTGAATTGAATTGTATCTGCCTAAAAATCATATTTTAAAGCCCTAAACTCCAGTGTAATGGTACTTGGAGATTGGCCTTTGGGAGATACTTGTTTAAATGAGGTCGTGAAGAGCCATCATGATGGGATCAGTGTCCTAATAAGAAACAAGGAAAGATACCTTAGAGTTTCCTCTCTCTCTCTCTCTCTCTCCCCTTCTCTCTCTCTCTCTCGATTTCTCCTCCCACCCCGAGCATGCACAAAGAAGAGATCATGTAAATGAGAACGTACAGTGACATGGCAGTCGCTGACAAGCCAGAGAGGCCTCTCCAGAAACCAACCATGCTAGCACCCTGACCTTGGACTTTTAACCTGCAGAAGTTTTTAGAAATTAGGTTCTGCTGTGTAAGCCACCCAGTCTGTGGTATTTTGTTATGGCAACCTAAGCTGACTAATGCATGTGTATGGAATATTCTCTACGAGAAGATACCTTGGCCTGTTTTGAGAGAAAGACAGCCAGTGTGAACAGTGCAGAGTACAAGAGGGAGCATGGTGTGAAAGGAGCTGAGGAACCAGATATGGCCAGTGCATGCATGATCTTGGGAACCACTTTAGGAATGTGGCTCTTTATTTTGAAAGCACTGGAAAATCACTGAAGAGCTCATGATCTCATACATTTGCATTCTGAGAAGATCATTCTGGCTGCTGTGCTGATAGGGATAGGATATAGGAATGGTGAGGAGCTGGGCAAGAGCCAGGAATGATTCCCAGGTTTCCGCTTTGCACAGTTTGAATTCGTTGAGGAGGGAATACTGAACAGGGAACAAAACTGGAGAGAAGGCTGGAAGACATTAGAAAGTATACAAACTCAAACTTGCCTTATTTATATCCCCAATGATAATCTCTTGTAGGCCAGAAATGGGAGCAGATTTAAGGGGGGGGACATCAAAGGTTAATTTTGCATATGTTGATTTTGAGATAACCTTTAAATATGCAAATAATGATTTCAAAATGGTAGTTGATATACTGGTTTGGAGATTTGAGAAGAGTTTAGGGTCAGATGTATATTTGTGGGTATTTGCTGCTTACATAAGAAAACTGTAAGACAGCTAGAAATCTTTGCTTCTCTTTGACATCAAGATCTCCATTAGAGTATATTATCTGAATTGACTCAGAAATCTCACTGGCACAGCTTGGTGAAGCAACTTCTGACTACTGGGGTTCAATCCCTGCTCTACCACTCATTAGCTCACTGATCTCAAGTTTTGGTTCTAATGAAGAAGACAGCATCAGTTTAACTTAATTCAGGACATTGTTTGAGGATTAAATATGAAATATCTGTTTCTGAGTAGGTAGTCAAAAACATCATAGTTTTTACTGGCATGACTTGATAGAAAACTTCAGTTTTAAAGCTCAGTGCTTAACTTAATTCAGGACAGTGTTTGAGGATTAAATATGAAATATCTGTTTCTGAGGAGGTGGTCAAAAACATCATAGTTTTTATTGGCAT